GCATGCTCTGGCATTTGATATACTCCTATGAGGGTTTCCAACCGATTGCCACCAAACTCGGTGAACATGATCTCAGGACATTGGGGACGCAAAATTGCCAGGGGATTTTTGATATCTCGAACGGTTTGCCCGTGGCGAGGCAGTGGAGTTATGGCGAGAAATGAGAAACAGGAAGTGTCTAATAGCATCCACATACATTGTCTGATTTTGATCAAACTTCTGGGGTTTGTTCGTTGTATGATGACGAACGCATACATGTGACTATTAGGAGTCAAAAATATAGCGCCACCGACTGACGGCAGGAAGTGTGTCATTTTCAAAATGCTTTAAATGCAGCATCTTATTTTTACCCGATTTGTTTCAAACTTCTTCAGAATAATGTCAAAACACGGCCGATGTAAAACTGGTGAGGGGATATTGATATCTGAAATATTGTTGCCATGGCAACGTATCAAATTTGAATATTATTTTCTGGTGATTTAAAAGCAGATTACAAATTGTTCTCTTTGTGTGTGTGTGTGTGTGTGTGAGAGAGAGAGAGAAAAAGAGAGAGCGAGAGAAAGAGAGAGAGAGAGAGAGAGAGAGACTCGCATCAGTAAATGCTACATAATTATAGTTCATGTTAATTAACATAGTTTTATGTTAATAACTGAAACCTTGTTGAAAGTGTTACCAAAGTTTAAATATTGTTGTGTGAATGTCTATATCAGGGGTGCCCAAACTCGGTCCTGGAGGGCCGAGGTCCTGCAGAGTTTAGCTCCAACTTGCCTCAACACACCTGCCTGGAAGTTTCTAGTATGACTAGTAAGAGCTTGATTAGCTGGATCAGGTGTGTTTGATTAGGGTTGGAGCTAAACTCTGCAGGACACCGGCCCTCCAGGACCGAGTTTGGGCACCCCTGGTCTATATGGTTCAGATTAACTCTTTAATTGCCGTATCCCTTAAAACCAGACTTCCAGAGGGTTACTGTAAATGCATGTGCCCACTGTACACCGTTCTCCTGATGCCACCGGGGTGGCGTTTGCACTAACGGCTTGGGCCCACCATCGCTGCTTGCAGCTATATTTATTATTATTATTTATATGTTATATAAATTATAGTATTATTATAGTATGTAATAATACCTGCAATCATTTATATAAAACATAAATTATAGTAGCATTTCAAATTTAAACTTAAAAAGTGCCATACGGTAAGCTATATTTCAATAACGATAACAATAACAATAAGTTAATTAGACAATCCTTTAGTAATCCTTTAGACATATGATGCAGCTGACATTTACACTCACATACACATTAAAAGAGAGAACAATATGCGAATAAACATGCTGTGCTTCTGAGGAACGGCTGGTGAACAGCGCCATCTCTCGGCAGTCAAGCGAAAGCTGGTTTATCATCAGAAGTAGATCACCTTTAGAGCTGACACACAACAGATACAAACACTTGAAAAGCTTGAGCAAAGTAAAGAAAAAAAAGAGTTTACGCTAGAGACCAATATCTCTAAAACAAAGAAAGAATGAAGAAAGAAAGTACAACACAGATCACAGATAAAATGTAATGGGGTTTCAAATCAAAACCTGATTTTCTGTTATGAAACATGACTTGATTTCATTCATGTCCACTGCAGAGACAGCAGGATTACAACTGTTTATGACGCATTCTGGGAGACACAAAAAATGAATAGGGAAAGAAATTATATTTCTATATTCCTATGAAACATGAGATATTATTATGAAAATCTTGCTAATTGTTGCTCCCATTATTACACTTCTTTTTTTCATTACATGTCGCCCCAGGAACATCCAAAACATGCAAATTAGATACAGTGATACACATTGTAAACGCTCTTATGTCAATTTTACACACATACTGCATAAAGCACAATGGTATATCATTCTGTTATATCTTTCGTAACATAGTTGAGAATCATCTTTATACAAAGTTTGGTATAAAAAAAAAATCCTGAAACCTAAAAATGTATTGATGATTTATTGTTTTTGCCTATTCACGTTCATTCTTGTCTTTTTATGCTGGTCTATAGCATAAAATATCATTTTTCAAAATTGTAATTTTTTTTCTTATGCTCTAAACAATGTAGTGACATGAAAAAATACTAAATTCACAAAACCTTCTGTTTCTGGGCTTTAGGAGGTATAACCACGGTTTTACTGCAAGTACCATGGTTAAACTATGGTTAGTGCAGCAAAAGCATGGTTCATTTGTGGTGAGCATGGTTTAACTAGAGTAACCATGTTTTTTTTGTTGTTGTTGTTGTTTGGTTTTTTTTGGAGTAAGGGATGTGTTGCCAGGTTTGAATAAAGACAAGAGAGATTTAGAGCCAGATTGTAGTTTCTGTATGTGAAATTTAGCGAGCAGGAAACACAAATTAATGACGTTATGTTCTCCTACATTCTCTAACAATCCAAAGAAAACATTTTTAAAATAGAATGAATATCAACTTACTCACAAACTACTTACAAACAACTCCAGACTCTCCACTAGATGGAGCTACAATCCAGCAGATCACCAGACTGAGAGCGGTGTGTGTGTGTGTGTGTGTGTGTGTGTGTGTGTGTGTGAGAGAGAGAGAGAGAGATGAAGTCAACACTGGAGACGCCCATGTTGTGTTACTTTAATTTTGACTAATTTCAACAGCAACCCAACTTTCAACATTAATAAAAAATATTACACTGTTTCAACAGAGAAAGATATAAAATAGAAAAACAAAACAAAAAACAAGAACCCCATCAAACAAATGCAACAATGAATCGGTTCACTTTGGCTGGATTAATGAAAGAGCCGGTCTGTGTGTAATAGTGCTGCAGCTGCTGTTCAGTGCTGCTCATATCAGCTGTTATCAGAGGAATGTGTGTGAGACCCAGCTGTCACTCACAGACCTGAGCTGCTTCTGCTTCACTCATATTCAGACAGCGGCATTATTCCAGCTGTTGCTCCAGTTAGACTGACTCACTAACACTAACCCAGGCTGACAGCTTGTACAGGCAAACCAAAGCTGTGCAGAATTAATACAGTCAACTCTACACCTCCACATGATGTCTTACGATGTCATTAAATATCGATGAGTCTGGTTAAAGGGTTTTAAAGCAGTGCTCAGAAGAACATCTGGATCAGTCTCAGTTAAGCAGCATACTCCTCTGTGCGTGTGCAGCGTGTCCATTTCTATATTTTTTATTGCAAAACAATAAACATTTACAAAAAATACAAATACTAAGTGTATATATGATTATATTCAAAACAACTACACCAAAAGAACCATAAATAAACAAGTTATTATGTCTCAATATAGTGCTAATGCACAAATGCATATAAATAAATTCTATTGCAATACACTCAGTAGATCATGGCATTAGAAATACCAAGGTCATGGGTTCAATGCCCAGGGAAAGCAAGAAATGATCAAATGTGAATATATACCTTGAATGCAATGCAAGTTTCTTCGGATGAAAGCAAATGCATAAATGTAAATGTAATAATGTAATACTATTTTTACAAATATTTCTGTTTGTGGACATGCTATAAATATTTAATTCATACAATTATTCATTGAATAATATTTATGAATATATCTATTATGACTGTATATATATTTCACACTTCTCCTATTCTTTCTTTCTTTAATTCTGTGTATTGAGGTCAGCGCTGATGATGATGATGATGAAGAAGATGCTGCGGCGTGGCCCTCTGTCGGTCAGTTACCCGGCTGCAGAAGCTCCGCCTCAGAGACTCCTCCGCTCCGCTGAATCAGACGCTCGCTCAGAGCGTCGCGGCGCTGCATCAGCTCTGAGCTCTTCAGATCGGTGCATGCTGAAGTGATGATGGCGGCAGCGCTGGAGAGAGGAGGGCTTCGGGCCGCCTTCCTGAACCCGGGCAGCGGCGGCGGCGGAGCGGCTCCCACAGCGGCGTCTGGAGCGGTGCTGTGGGGCTCCGCGGGCTCCGGGTCTATGCCCGTCCCCATGAACCTCTTCGCCACCTGGGAGATCGACCGCTCCTCTCCGAGCTGCGTGCCCCGGTACGAGTGTGTGTGTGTGTGTGAGCTGTCAGTGCTGGTGTTTGTGTTTATCGACATGTTTATTTGCTGATTGTCCTGCATCTCTGATGGAAGTTAGACAGTGTGTGACACTCATGTTTACCATCTTTTCCTTACAGTGATATTTCAGCACCATAGTACAGTGGTGTATTGCTATGGTGCTGAAAGTGTGGTACTTTGAAAGGATTGTTCACACAAAATCATTTACGTCCCTTTTAAACCTGACTTAATTTCTTCTGTGGAACACAAAATAAATTTTGAAACTAAAGAGCACTGAGTTTCATTCTATGGAATTCTTCAGGAATATTTTTCAAAATATCTTCTGTTGTGCTGTACAGAAGTAACCAATGACAGAGAGCATCATGGTTTGTGGAGTGTTGTTTGTTAATGCTGTCTTGTTATCTATGATCAGCTTCGCACAACTTTGAATTCTAGTAGAATCACCACCAAACAATTCACACACTCCTGCTGCACAGACAAGGACTTCATCTGTTTATGTGTAAAGACTTGAATCGGTTCTCCATAGTTAGGTTGTTTTGGATAATGGATGTGTTGAGAAGTGAGTGGCAGCAGATGAGCCTCGGCCGTCTGTTCTGCTGTTTCTGCTTCAGCATTCAGAATTCCGGTTCTTGTGTTTTCCGCTTCGTTCTGAATCCGAACTCTCGCTGCACTTTGGGGAATTCCAGAACGCTTTCACCCCCCTGCCATAATGTGTTTTTCTGGGAAGTCAGTGGACATCGATGTATGCAGTGCTGCAGATGTGTGGTGTGTGTGTGTGTGTGTGTGTGCGTGTGTGTGTGTGTGTGTGTGTGTGCGTGTGCCCAGTGCAGGTGTAGGACTGGCCTCTTCTCAGGAGTGGCTCCATTAATCAGCTCTGACCCAGATGTGTCCCAGCACTCGTCTCATTGCTCTCTCGGCCGCTACGGCAGCAGAAGTTCAAGCCCAGTGAGGGCTTCTCTCTCCCTGTGTGTGTGCATGCATGTTTGAACTCTCTCTCTGTGTGTGTGTGTGTGTGTGTGTGTGTAGTCGAGGTGTGATGGTTCAGAAAGGTCGTCTCAGCATGTTGGTAATGTACATGCCATCCTCCAATGGGAGAGCAGCTAGTGAGTGTAGTCACATGACAACAACATTGTTGCATGATTGTCAAACACACAGTTGTTTCTGCAGTTTTTCAGATATAACTAATAGTTTAATCCAGACCTGCCTCTGACTATATTTAACAGAAGATTATGCCTACTGTTATGGCTTGCTTTCTCCCTTGATTAAGCTCAGGAAGGTTAATACCACATTTTTCATTTTAAGCCCCACAAAATAATTCTGAAATGTAAAACATGTCCATGATAGAAGAGTTTTGAATAAATGAATAGATGTGCACAGAAACCATCACCGACTCATTTACAGTAACAGGTTATTATCCGCTCAGAATGATCCATTCACAGGTGATGTGAGAAAGTCAGTGAGACGATTGTGTGTGTTTGTGTGTATTTAATATTTCAGAATGAGTCTGAATGTAGGTCAGTGTGTGACTCCGAATCATGAATCATTAGAAGAACACGAGTCACACCGGCGAATGAAGATTCAGATTCATGAGGATGTTATGAAGCGTTCAGAAGGTGTGTGTGAGTGTGTGTGTGCGTGAGTGTGTGTGTGTGTGCGTGCGTGCGTGCGTGAGTGTGTGTGTGTGTGTGTGTGTGTGTGTGTGAGTGAGTGAGTGAGTGTGTGTGTGTGTGTGTGTGTGTTATATTTCCACTGTATTCTCTTCCTGCATGAACTGAGTGAACGTCATTCATTTCCACCTCAGTTGGTTTGGACTTCAGCTGTCAATGCACAGATGTGTGTCGTTCTGCTGTTAGAGTGATAAGTGATGCTTTTAGTGGATTTAGAAGAATCTTGAGTAAATATTAGACTAGACACTGAATTTCAGTGATTCTGTGCACAGTCTACCGGCTCTCATTAAACAACTATAAATTATAGACCGAAAACACTGTAGATATATCAGCTGTTATCAATCACTAATGCAGAAACATAATCACAATTATTTTGGCCATTTACTGAGATCATGATTATTTAACATGATGCATTTATTGAACTTTTAAACTTAATTCAAGTAAAAAAAAAAAAAAAGTAAATAAATTAAATTAAAAATAATAATAAATAATATATGTATTTATGTATACAAATTGTAATAAATATAAAAATAAAAAATATAAATAAATGCAAAATTTTGAAACACAACAATCGTTTTATCTCAATTATCTTGTTTTCATAGTCACTGAAAGCCAAAATTGTAACTAAAAATATAATTTGATGAATCAGCGAGTGCTAGAATGCAGCAATGAATTCTTCAGAACAACAGCATGAAAACTGAGAGAATAAAAATAATAAAGAACAAAGAGCCGAAAGCTCAGATCTCAGACTCTACGTCTGACTTTAACGGGAATCCAAATATATTAAGCTAATATATAAAAACTTGTATTAGTGCAGACGCTCCTCTGGTTTAGATGAAGCCACAGGACGTCAATGCAGATATCAGCACAAACACTTTCACAGACTGAACGTGTGTTATCAAAGACAGCAACGATCAAGGCCTGCGCTTGAGGACACTTCCATACTCTCTCACACACACACACACACTCACACTCACACTCACACTCACTCTCTCTCTCACACACACACACACACTCACACTCACACTCACACTCACTCTCTCTCTCACACACACACACACACTCACACTCACACTCACACTCACTCTCTCTCTCACACACACACACACACTCACACTCACACTCACACTCACTCTCTCTCTCACACACACACACACACTCACACTCACACTCACACTCACTCTCTCTCTCACACACACACACACACTCACACTCACACTCACACTCACTCTCTCTCTCACACACACACACACACTCACACTCACACTCACACTCACTCTCTCTCTCACACACACACACACACTCACACTCACACTCACACTCACTCTCTCTCTCACACACACACACACACTCACACTCACACTCACACTCACTCTCTCTCTCACACACACACACACACTCACACTCACACTCACACTCACTCTCTCTCTCACACACACACACACACTCACACTCACACTCACACTCACTCTCTCTCTCACACACACACACACACTCACACTCACACTCACACTCACTCTCTCTCTCACACACACACACACACACACACACTCACACAATGAGCTGCGTGTGTTTTGTCGTCTAATCAGACGCTCTAAAGCCTCGTCTGCTGTAAACAAACCTGCCGTAAGCGACTTGTAACCTTGTAACACTAAAGCCGCTGTTAATCAGGTTCTTATCATCAGTGACACTGAAGCCTCGCTCACACCAACGACGACGAGTAGAACCTCAATGATTCATTTTTAAAAATCATTCTGAATATAAAAGAATAGTGAGTTCACACCTCAACTATAACGATAGCGACACAGAGGAACGATTTTCCAGCTGTTGAGCGATAAAAACTTTGACAGCCAATCAGAGTCCACCCGACTTTAAAGAGCTCAAGCATTTAAAGTGACAAATGACAAAACGTCTTAGAATAAACTTTGGTTTGCATGCTAATATAGTTATAGGTATTGTTCTTGACGTGAAAGGGCCTTGACTCTACAGTGTAAAAAAAGATTAGAGATTGTTTCAGTTTTTCTACTTCAAAGTTTCACGTTTGATTCAACATGTTACTTGCTGTTTCTCTGTGATTAATTGTGAATTTTACTAGTAATTTCTGAGTGAAGCTTGTGACCCGCTGCAGGGTCTGATGGTGTTTCTGCGTTGTGCGTCTGACAGGAGTTTCCCGTCAGTTCTTCAGCTTCAGGAATCACAGTCGTGCTTTTGTTTTTCTCTGGATGTTCCTGCACCGAGTGTTTATGGGATCCTGTCGGAAGAGTTTGGACGTCCTCG